TCCAAATCCAATGATGATGATGGATACTCATACGCGTTAACAACGCTCTCTCGTACCGAGTGAACGATGAATTTCTGAATGTACGGTTGCCAATAGGTTGCACATTAGTTGTCCAGCCGATGAACCAATGTATAATTTAGTCCTCCAAATCCAAGTTTCGACAGCTTTTGCACAGCCTTGTAATCGACAACTCATAAAAACATGGTCGATGAGAATGTGTTGCACCCCATGAACGTGCTACTAGCAATACAAGAACCGGATAAACCTGATACATTTCAAATCAATACGCTAAGGGACAGTTTTGTCAAGGGCACAGAGGCTATTCCCATCTGCGTTAACAGGGCCCCATCCTAATACCCTGGGTGGTGGACAGTTTTAAACCTGCAACGATGTTAGAAGCGAATTCCTGTGGCCATTGTTGCACAGCCCACCAGACGACTTTTGTCATATGCCATCAGTATCAACGGTCTATTTGTGCCCACAACCCTGATACTCTAGGAGAGGCTGCACTACATTAAACTGTGATGTTTAGAGTTGGAGTTTGTGCGTATTTCGTATCTCCGCTTGCAGAAGACCCACAGGAACACTCTGAGGCGCTAAGCCTACAGTGGTGCTTGCAGTGAATCTCTGTGACCACGCCTGCTTAGACCTAGCTGAACAATGGCTAACAGTGACTAGCCATTTAGGTGTCTAGGATGTGTCTCCTGAGTGGTGAGGGCCACCATAAACCATTTTGCATGCAATGTATTCAGCTGCACCCACTTAATGGACAATTATGGCCATGATGATGGTTTTAGATTTGCTCTTTCCAGTTGACCCCCGATCTTGTTCCCTCAAGTCTACGTCAGATAGGGAGTTGATTTGGATGCGCACGCGGCTCGGCGCAAACAGTGCGGCATTATACGCCGTGCGCGGACGTTCATAATAATGTAATGGCGATACTACTGATGGGGGAGGTACGCGAGTAGGATGTTTTCTTGTAAATTCGCTTTGTGTTTCTTGAAAAGGGAGATCTATTACGGAGTTTGTGGAGCGGCTTTGTAGCATTTGCTTGCATTTGAGTAACAGTCGATGAATATCCAGAAAACTTCAGGAAGACGCGTTCAAGAGAAGATGGATGTTCAGTTTTTGTAAACAAGATGCATATGAGAGTTTTGCTTCCCTGTCCAATAGTCTGTAACTGGTTAGTTGGCATGTTCCGATAACTCCCCAGCCAAGGCCTTTCTCCTTTCAATAGTTCTATGTAACAGGCCATACGTGAAACGGATGCCAACCTAACATGGTAGACGGTCGGCCACGACTAGCTCCCCAACTAAACCCATCTGGTCCGTTCTGTCAACTTATTCTAATAGACTGGGAGAGTACTATTCTACCAGCAGTGCGCATCAATTTCTCACAAACCAGGACTCTTGTCTATCCTACACCAACATTTTAGATTGCCTCCCTCACAATAGGAGTGAAAAATACAGATATTATTGTTTCATCCCTCTGGAGCAATCGCTTTAACAAATGCAATCAATGCGGCCCTAGATGGGGTCTAGCATACTCTACTCGTTCGAGAATATTTCTCCCGAGAGTTTAGTAGCAGGTAGTATTATCAAAACCAAGAGCTCAATTCGAGGTCGCAATCGCCGGATGGGACACTAGTTTTTTGGAGACCATCTACGTTTACAGAGAGGGTATTCCTCATCTCGACTATTCAGCTGTTTGTCCCAAGTAAGAAACAAAACTGAACGCTGCAGCACAAAAAAGTAAATGCTCATCTTCTTCTCGATCAGCCGCGGAGTAATTTATGCCAATTTGCATATGTTTAATCAGCTACCAACACCTTAAGGCAATGCCTACAGAAAGGATGGAACACGTCTATGGGAAACTCAGCTAGTTCTCGAATGCTGGAAATGTGTGTTTGTCCAGGTGTACACACACCGTTTTGCATACAAACAGAGGATGTGTATGCGTTGCCTCCTCCCGAGAGATTTAACTGCATAGTATTCGATCAAACGCCGATGGCTATGTTTCAGAAACCCTAATGAGGATACACACGCGGGAGTTGGAAGTTTGGTTCGTTTCCCCCATCACCAATGGTTGCCACACGAAGCTCGGGGATGGGGGGCGTAAATGATAATGATCTCTCCACAGATGCGTCGAAAAATGGAAGGAACAACAAAGGGTACGTAACGTTGAATTTGACAGTAAGTTTGCTTAATTGTGGAGACATGAAGCAATCTTGATGAATAACTGGGATGTAGAACAGTTTCAAACGGTGTGTACCGTTGTAAATAGGGCTATTAGCTTACGTGGGAAAGGGCTAAATTTGTTTTCCGGCTGAAACCGTGTGAAATGGGGACTTGACCATACCAGCATTCGGCCGCCAAAGCGAGGTCAAACAAACTGAGATCTCGGCTCCTGTGAAGTATTTTAACTGTCACCCGTGCTGCACACACGTTTGCATCAGGCAGAGGCCACAAATATGAAGTCAACTCGATCCGGCTTGGCCTAGTTTCATCATGCAAGTTCCTTCGAATTCATAACTGGAATAGTGATGGTCAAGTGAAAATGTTAGCAAGTGGAAAGATAGATAGGCATTGCTATGCTTATGTTGTTTTCGTCATGCAATGGGATTTGGTTTAACACTGGTGGGCTATGAACAGATGTAAGATAGAGTGATTCTTGAGAAGGAGGGTCCAAGCACGCGGACATGGCACATTCTTCATGCGCTCACAAGTTGGAGGGCTCATTGATAAGTAAACTTAGCCAATTTCAGTTCATTATTATCCCGCATGAAGTAGACTTGAGCTCAACAAGCAGTGCCACTCGGGGGCACTTGTTACATTGCTTTCCAGGGCTATTGAAGGGAAGAGGGATTAGAAAATCGCACTCAGGCCATCCTTCAGGAATGTTTTCTTAGTCACTTAAAAACGGCTATATGATCACAGCTTGCTATTCTAAATAGTTTGTGGGAAGAGGGATTAGAAAATCGCACTCAGGTCATCCTTCAGGAATGTTTTTCTAGACACTTAAAAACAGCTATATGATCACAGCTTACTGTTCTAAATAGTTTGCCTCAGGAACGAGGAAGTAACTCAACACCAATGACCGATTAAAGCACATGTTCCTTATGGGAGCCAGGTAGGGAAGGAAGTATCAACCAACGGAAGCAGTTACAAGGTTCAAACATAGGTGATAGATTGTCTGAGGATTTAACATCTTTGTTCGAACACACGCGCTACAAGCACGAGGTGAGAAGTGCACTTGCTTTCACTGAAGTTTGCACTCAGCCCTCCACTTAGACAGACGGTATCCTGACATTGTTTTCTTAGTCACTTAAAAACGGCTATATGATCACAGCTTGCTATTCTAAATAGTTTGTCTCAGGAACGAGGAAGTAACTCAACACCAATGACCGATTAAAGCACATGTTCCTTATGGGAGCCAGGTAGGGAAGGAAGTATCAACCAACGGAAGCAGTTACAAGGTTCAAACATAGGTGATAGATTGTCTGAGGATTTAACATCTTTGTTCGAACACACGCGCTACAAGCACGAGGTGAGAAGTGCACTTGCTTTCACTGAAGTTTGCACTCAGCCCTCCACTTAGACAGACGGTATCCTGACATGTTCAATTACCTCCGAGTATAGACGTCACGGGAACTAGGTGATAAAACGAGCACCCATTGATCACATGCTCGTTGTCCTGTTCGCTGAGCTTGACAATTACCATACTACCAATATTCCGCAACCCACTCCATCGACACTAGGACTACCAGAAAGACCATAGCCATGATCTCCCCAATTTGTTGGCTGCATCTTTAATATTCCCGGAGGCAAGAATGGTAGAGTAGTCGGATAACAGAATTAGAAAGAAGTACAATCTTTAGTTTGACGGTTGTTACTTATTCATCCCAAAATTTGTTTACCTTGACAGTAACTGGACTCCAGCTAACATGTCGCAGCGAAAATAGGCTTTCATCGCAGTACTTTGAAAGGTTTCAGCTGAGGTATCCTTGAATTATAAAGTTAAGCAGGCTTGTTCACCCATATTACAAAAATAGCGCAAATAAAAAATATCCCTCACGAGAAAATAACAGAAAACTGGTGTAGTTTTCCTCAGCACATTTTCTAATGCTTGGTGTGACCTCTCCTGTCAGTATAGCTATCCGTATACCTAAGATGAACGCCTACAATGCAGGCAAGACCATAGGAAAGTCTTACCACTGTCAAAACATATGCAACCCAGTCAACATAGAAGTACTGTGGAGTGTCCTGTGCATGAGCGGTTGGGTGAAAAATTCCACGTAAGCATCCTGCGTTCATACGGAAGCACGCGTTCTGTTCGAAGTCGATACAAACAGCTGATGACCAGCTGTGGTGAAAAAATCCGATTCTAGGAAGTCAGCGGAAACAAAAAAATCAAACGGGCAGAACCAAAATAGTGGGTACTGTTGTATCAAGGAGAACCGTAGTAACCTATCATGAAATAAGCGAAGAAGTTTAAGGGTTGCGGCTAAGTTCACCTTGTCAACCATCTTTTGGGATTCGGTAACAAGCCCCATGGAAAAGCGTTGACCCACAGCCAACAGAACCGAATTATCAAACTCACAGAAACATCGGACAAAGAAGGAGCCCAGGATATTGTTTATTCTTCGTATATGAGAGTAGATTACCCAACAGTAAACGACATGAAAGGTCAGTCGATGGTACCACCCAAAGAACATGTACGAACAAACAAGTCGCACAATCAAACTCATAAACCTGTGATTGTGCCAAGTTCCATTTTTCGAAGACCCTCTCTGCCAACAGGGTGCCCCTAAGCCGCACGAGGTTTTAGTGGCGGCGTAGCATGGAATTCAGAAAGCACTCTGAGTGCAGGGTGTCGCCTGCCCCGGGGGCCGCGAAACGTGCTTATTTTCGCTACTCATGAGTAGCCAAATGATTATGCACCGCACGCAGTGATGAAGGATGAGGTCCTCGCCGAAAAACAAACGCGGAGAAATTCGCAGTCTTAGAATGATTTATTTTTTATCCAAGGGTAAACAAATGCATTATTGATTGTCCTAGGGAATGTGAATCAAGGTGAAACCGGAACATTAGGATTTCTGAACCTAAATAAACAAATAAATTAGTGACCATGAACAGATAACATACATAACTCTAGGAAAAACGGCAAAACGTTTGTCGAAGAACGTGAAAGGACAAGGGACAAAACAAAAATAGCAAACTCTGGAATCATCACAGAACCTGTCCACATGGGAAGTAGAAGCGTGGGCCCCATGTCAGGAGAATAAAGATCTTCTGTGGCGAGACACCGATGTGCTGGCAGACGGTTGTGATTTGTTACTTATTGCAGGCAAGTTCAATACCACATTCTCTTGCTCAGTTTGTTTCAGGTTGCGTAAACCGGGAGAAAACTTAATATCTAATGAATTTTCATCCCAAAGGTGCCTCGAGTGTTCCGGAGATGGTTCAACACTGCACTGGATCGGGTGGGCGGGTTCAGAGGAAATCGTGGACAGGACATGGCGGTTTTCTAGTTCGTTGGAATCAGGTTCATTCGAATTGCTGTTGCCAAATAGCCGCGTGCGTAAGGCAAAAACAGTAGAGGCACTCTGACTGCTCACAGTGGTGGTGCACTCTAGTAGTTCACTGAAGGAGAAAGAGCAATGTGGATGTAAGTGATGGCCAGGTTATATTGAGAAAAGATGACAGCGATGGACCTACGAAAAGCAACACAAAATAGTTGTGTTGGGTAGCATGGGTGCATTCTCATGAGAATACGGTACATTTGTACATTGTAAACAATCACTGGTGAAGAATCTGAAGGAAGTGGGGAAACCAGTCAATCACAATTAGCCTTTACACTCAGTCTGGCGTTCATCTGTCACATGTATATCACAATCAAACAAAGTGGGATGCGGTCTTGGAGAGTCCTCGAAGTTCGTAAAAACACGGGTATTACATTATACCGCCAGCAGCGCCTTGAGTAGTATTTATGAGCATTTAGAACCATCCAGCGAAAACGCGCGAATTGCAGCCTTCAATGGAGACGAGCATGCATCTTTCGATGACTTGGAAGATCGCGTTTACTATGGAACTTACGGATCCCCTCTGGGGACGCGAGGTCACGACCATGGGCATATTGCACGTTCGGTCCACCCAATTGCAACAGGTGGTTAAGCCTGAAAGCAACTACAAGATTCTCGGGGCTACAACTCCAAAAAAGAACACCCTTCCGCATACGGCTGTCAATGAACACGTAAACTACCGACAAATACATCAAACTTTCGTATAAAACGTGTCAACTCAAAGATGAGTAGTAGTATATATGGCTAAAAATATTGCCTACCCGGGAATGCCGGTCTGCTCCACATCGGTACACACCACAGGCCGAGTAAATACGTGAAGTGGAGCGAAGGGAGAACGAATCGGTTTAGCAAGAAGCGGGAGAAATTGACCAGTATCTGATTCGCTTGACTTCTTTGGAGTAGTCGCGGTAGCTGAGGTTTGCGGGCGTCTCCGCATTGATCGTTTCAAAGAGTCTGCTCGCAGAAAAGTGGAGATCGGACCGGAGTTTCTTCCAGTTCCAACGGGTTCCACGGATTCCATTATCTTGGGCAGTGAACTAAGCCGCATAATGGGAGGATTCATTGAAGGAGGGAGAGGGGAATAGCGCTTTCGCTTTCTGAAGAAGAATAGTGGATAGTCTACTATATAGTGGGAGTGAATGACGTATCAAGCAAGTAGGTGGGAACACTGAAAAGAGTGGACAATTGCCGCTAAGCCGATAACATTTACGGTTCCAGAGAGCCTGATTGCTAGAGCAATTTTATGAATACAACCGGGGTACATCATTGGGATTGTTGATGGGACAAATTAGGAGGAACCTCCGAGAGAAAGGAATATGAATCTGGTCTTTGTAATTGTGCTAAATATGGAATCCATTCTACCTCACGTTAAACGAGTGTCCGAATAATAACAGCGTAATAAGGAAGTAGGACGATTAGGGACCCAAAGATTGTCGTTTGGCGTGTCGAGATGAGTGGCAGAACTAACATGGGCGTACATGACTCAGGTCACCAGAAAACACTTTGACATGAGTTCAAAGAACCGTTTCGGTTAATACAGTTTGATCAAATTGTGAATGATCAGATCAGCAGGGACAAGCAAGTGGACATCTGCTCGCATGCGTTGCTGAGTAAATCGAGCTCGGCAGAACAAAACATCCAACTCACTCGTATTCGAAGCAGCGTCAATGGCGTCGGGTTCGGCTCACTGAATTCTTTCTACGATAGCCTCCAGAGACACTTTAGGGATAAGCCGCTCCTCGCAATCAATTGGCATTTACTGAGTCCTCAGGAAAGGCCAAACATCCTCACACATTTACACGATTCAAACTGTGTGCGTACTGCATTGAGGAAGCTAAGTCGCACGACGGTTTATATGACAAGAACAAAACTGAACCACAGCTCTCTGGGATACAGGTTAGCACAGGAAAAAAACGAACATTGTATCAGGAACGTAAGAGAATTATTGAGGAACGAAAAGCAAACGAGACTAAAGTGTACCCACCGGGCTGAAGAAGCCACATCTGATTCCCACGCACCATCTGATTCGTTACTGAAAGTGCGCAAAGGACTGCATATGCTCACGCTGGGCGTAGTGTTAGTTTCACTGAGAAATTCCTCCCGACCAAGAAACATGGCCTCTTCATCGAACACTTGAGGAGATATGGGGACAATGCGAGCTGGCACAGTAGCAGCATTGTCAGACAAATGTTGAGCACGAGTCCTAGTGTTGGGAAGACGACGCTGTGCTGTTGGAGTGGTCACAGGGCTCTTCGGCACAAGATACAGAAGGGGTGAGTGGATTTGATTCCCATTTGGAAAAGTTTGAAGTGGTGGACTGACACTGGGTGCTGGTAGACTTCGTTTCGGTGATTTGAGAGGAGGGCTCTTGCAAAATATGTCTGGGGTAGTTGAATAAAAGAAAACGAAAATGGAGAAAAGATACACGGCGAAAAGTGGTGTACTAATTGGTACCATGCAAAGAAGCTGCTTGAGAATTAGAAGACGAATGGCTGGCAAACTGGAAAATCGTACACCTACAAAGCCTGTGGTACTAGGGATGCTATTCGGTCCAGTTTGTCCGGCACAAATCGTGTACGTTTTGGCTGATTCAGATGATCGAAACAAGGTTCGCTTTGGAAACCATTTAAAGGTTAAAAAGTGAGAATATAACATTAGGGCTCCACGGAATTGAAGGGCAGCGTGCAGAAAGCGGATAAGAGAGGCGACAGCGCTCAGCTGTTGATGCTTTAGGTTTTGATTTAAATGTTCAAAGTGAGCATCAGGCCGTGTCCTAAAAACGTTGAATGAGGGAAATGAAAATACGAAGAGAATACGGACGTTCCATAGCGGTTTTTGGTATCCTGACCTAATGAGCACGTGAACCAGCTATCGAGGATGACTTCGGAGCCGACAAAACCTTGCAACAAGGGTAACTCTGTGAATCCAGAATTTGGTAGACAATAAATACATCCAAGAACAACGGCGGTGCACGCGTACCCAATGTCTGTGATTCTCACAAATTTGTCTCTACCAGTAATCTATCAACCTGTGCAAGATAATACCATACAACACCTTGAAATCCATGACTTCCAAGCTGACGCCCAGATGTTCTTCGCATGACGTTCGCAAGCCTGTTTTGAGCAGTGGGATAAAGATCGAAGCGTCCCATTCCACCGATATTCTACTTTCATTCCACGTCGTTTTGGAATTCTACCCCTTTGTTTCCTACCTCTTCCCGTGACCGTTAACGAGGTTAGGCGAGACCAACTAGCGTAGTTTATGTTACGTCACAAGTGAACCAAAACGGTAGGAAAGGCGTCCGCTTCCGTACATCCAGAGACGGACTTCTTCCTTGATCACATGCAGTTATCACCAGACAGAGATGATATTTTAGAGGAGGCAGTGATTGGGAGCGACCAGTCGATTGAGCCTTTCTGCAGAGAGCACCCATGTTTCAGATTCATGCGGTAGGATGGCCAATATTGCTGTGTTGTATATGCGTTGAGTAATAGACTGATGTGGGGAGAGATGGGCCACGTGGTTAGAGCGCGAATTTACTCACCGGAATGTCCGTGGTTCGAATCCGACCTCCGCCTCTCGACTTCCCCTGTCTAGGCTTAGGCGACCCGGCAGTATCCCAGCCCTCGCACTTCCTTCTGGTGGCATGGCAGCTAGGCAGCGAAAGGGTGCTACAGCTGAACGCTATTAGGCTGATGTCCCGTCGTTGCCAAAAATGCTGGAGGTTTACGAGCGTCAAACGAGCCCTAATAATGTGACTGTTTATTTCATTCTAGATCCATTCAGGTCTGAAGCAGCTGACCGGATGCACCACCTTGAGTTCGCACCCAGAATCATAAGACAGAAAAGTTCCATACGCTTGAGGCTTGAAATATGGGTCCAGTTAATCCTCCTCTTGGACATACACATGTGACTTCATTCTGAAAGGAGCTAGACTGACAATGGGCGTAAAATGCTAAACAAACAAACCTTCCGGATACAGCTTAAAACTGCCCAAAAAGAATACCACGACGAATGGCCTGCATAAAAACAGCACTTTAATGAAAGCTACGAAATGTTCTTCACGCGATTTATTTAGTGGTAGACTAGTATAGTTCGAATTCCATGAACCGGATGTGAAGGAGTGAGATTATCACTTTGTTCGGAGCCGATATCACCAGAAATAACGATTCTTTACTCCTTAAAGGTTTCTACCTTAGTGACAAAGCGGTTATATGGAAGGAATAGACCAGAGGTTGATGCTTAATCCACCTTACACCCACCTTAATTGACAAAAACACCTCATCCCACAAATGAAACACCATGTCAAAACGTCACATGATGTGGGGATATTCCAGGAATCCGCGACCTATTTAGGAACCATGTCAATCAGTGGATAGCCAAAACACTTTCCCAACCAAGAAAAATCAAACCGCAAATAAGCAAGTATGAGAAACAAGCCACAAGAACTTACTTTTCCTAGGTGTTTTTCTTCGACCGTTCTGCTGTTCCGGTGAGGTCATGTTAGCAAACAGATTAGAACTGCGACGACGAAGGGCACCAGGGTTGCACAAAAGGCCACTATTGGGCGTTAATTTCGTAACGTCTGATTCTGGCATTAGTTGCTGCCTCAGCGACGGACTCTTCAAGTCGAACTGCGCAGAAGGTTCAGCAAACTGACTCAAACTGGATTCTTCTTCAAACTGTCGACGACGCCAGCGTTCAGCACGAGACATGCCAACTGAGAGACAGCCGGCTCCGGTTAAGGAGACAGGATGGGGTCCACCCGAGTCCTGTGAAAGTCGATTAATATTGGTAAAACAGGTGGCGGGAATCAGGTCAGGCTCTTTGGGTTCTACGTAGCACAGACTCGCCAACATTGAGTTTGCTCGTCGCAAACGTCGGAGGGGGCTCCCAAGAGGTCCAGCAGGCTTAATGGGCGATTCTTCAACCACAATAGCCTGTAACGGAATATGGGAGCTTCTAGAGTACAAACGATACCACACGAAGACGTGAAAAGCTTGCTCTATTTACTAATGAGATATTTCACAAAAGATAATTGCGTAATGAAAATAACGAACATGGATGCCAAAAATGACCAAACCACGATGTGGAGTGAGCTCAAGTTTTCCTATTACAGAAACTCGTGGGAAACACAAAATACTGTCTTTACTGGAAGACACAGCAGTCTACCAAATCATTGGGGTAGTGGCTGTCTTACCTCCGAGTGAACGACACCCAGAAGGACTTCCAGAACGAGCTGTTCACAAAGAAACCAAGCTCGACTTGAATGTGGCTCAAAGCTGTGCATCCAATGAGGGACGTAAGTATAGTAATATCTCCCAGCAATTAGCATCAATGAAAACAGAGAGTCCTGATTCTCTTTCCGGACCGCGGAATCAGAATTTTTAACTCACGTTTTAGAGATCGCAAATCGGAGACGTGTTCTTAGGGGTAAGACTGTATACCTCAATTTTAGATGTCTAGTTTGTTGTCAGATTTCGAACAGGTTCATTTCCACACTGGAGACAATTGATGTGGTGCTGATAGGACTAAACATAACTATGAATAGAGACTACGACTCATATCTAAGTCAAGGATTGCAAGGGTACTTCTGAAAACGTCTCGATCACAGCAATAGGAATTGGTCGAATCAAGTGGATCCAGGGTGGATATCTGGAGGAATTACCAAGTTACAGAGTTTTGGCTTTTGGTGACTGTGATCGGAAAAGGTTGCATGTGCAGCAAGTTTAGTGTACCTTACGTAGTTCTAATCAGGTAATATTACGGTTGAGCTTGGCAAGTAGTACGAACGTCTAGGTACACCGACATCGACGCCTGGTGTTATGAGTATCGTGTACCGTCGGCTTAAAAAAACCATTACATTCACACTAGTCACACAGACTACCAATGAAATCAGATGGACGAAAACGCTTGTTGAAACCAGTGACAAGAGTGTTGAGGCTAAAGATTGGTATCCGGAATGGCAACCGAATCACCCGCAGTTTCGGTCAAGACATGGGTGCATAGGGCCCGTCTGGGGTGCCTTCAAAGTGGAGCACTCCCAAACTCTAAAATGGTGATGAAAGTGATCCTTAAGTGAGGGACTCATGTATGGCATTGTACGATAAGGCTGGAGATAAGTTGTACAAACATACCCTATCTTTCGTTTTTTCAGCGGCCGCCAATCTGGCCCGTTCCCAACGCGGATAAGAGCGCTCTGGGTTGGGGGTCTCGTGAACAGAACGTCGATATCGTCGTTCCGGGGTTTTCACGCTTTTGAATTCTTCTGGTTGTGTGCAGACGTCACGATCAGATTGTCGACGTTTGGATGAGGATTTTGAGTGCCGCCCGGTGGAGCTCCTGGAAGTATTGGAATTAGACTGTTTTGACTGTTGGGTTCGAGGTGTGCGTTTCTTGCCCACCGATGTCGGGGGAATTTTGTCGGTAGGAGGTGTTTGACTAGGAAGACAAGTAGAAGGAACAAACGTTAAAAAACGAGATTTTGACAGTTGCACCAGTGAAAGGTCTGCACCTTCGGTACCTCGTCATGACCATCGTCTAGGTGTACTTTAATCACTATGCTGGTTAAACTCCCAAAAGTGCAGTCTGCTGCGGTTAATTGGTTCTTTTTGGAGTTGGTTTCCTTAGGCGATAAATCAGATTCGGAGAAGTCATTATCGTGCGATATGAGATCCACCCGAGCATCAGTTGACCTTCAGTTACGCACAGCATGCGATGTTTTACATGTAAGTTCGTCGGAATAACATAAAAGTACCGCTATTCGAACGAATTGGATTCTGTAGAAGTTCTGTATTACACAACCGAGAGTATTTAAATAAACAGTGGTGATAAAAGCTCCAAACACATTGAAAATTGAGTGACCGCGTGAAAGGCCATCCTGCTTACTACTATAGGTAATACCCAGAGACCGCCAACATGTGTTGCAGAAAACGACCATCAATTAATGTCGCGAATCGGCTGAAAACGACCATCAATTAATGTCGCGAATCCACGTATTGCTCTTGACTTCAAAATTCCCGACAGCTTTAAGTCCGGCGATGGTCGGTGGAAAAGTATCGGCCCACGACACTAAGTACCATATGCTTATGAGCCACTGTATGAGAGCGTAAAGTGTGTGCAGGCCCCAGCCTAACCCATTACCAACAACGTCCGGATGGAAATCCTATACAGGAGGGAAGTGCAACCGAGTGCAAACTATCTAATAGGCGAAAACTATTTACGAGGCCGTTGAAACATGTTTTGCATGTAGAGCTAACAATATTAAACACCATAGATACGGGCGTTAGTTGAACCGAACGCAACTTTTTGTTAAAGATCCGCTTTAACTACTCTGACTAACTCACATTATTGCGAGCCTTTAGAAAGATTCGATTATATCTGTCGAGTTTACGTACTGCAAAAAATCAAATTACGAGGCGGCCGTAGTGTCCTCTGCGATGAGAGTGTGAAGGCAGTGGTGTTCTCCTCAGGCGACCGGCAATTTTCATACTCATGGAAGCAGCAATGCTGCCCTCCCCTGAAGGAGGACGGTTTAGAAAAGGTCAGCCCTAAAAACCGCACACCCCGATCGCCCTGCCGAGCTGGCTTCCTCCCGCAAGAGAATATATTGATCATATTTTCACCTTCCGTCAGATTCTGGAACAGCAGCACTGAATCCAGTTATAAACAAGCCATCTTCCTTGACTTGAAAGCTGCATTTGACTCTGTGGATCGTCAGGCACTATGGCAATTCTATGGAGCAAAAGTACCCACCCTCCTTAAAGCACGCTAAGGACGCGTTAATGTCTATGGTAAGCTCTCGCCTGAGTTCACTTCATCAAGTGGTACCAGGCAGAGTTTTCCTCTTTCATCTTCAACATCACCATCGATATGATCATGGAAGACTCAATCCCAGCCTCTTGACTACGAGATCGAAACGCTCCCAGGGCGCTACCTCAAATATATCGAGCATGAAGACGATGCCATCATAATGAAGGTGAAATAAAATAATTATACCTCACGGTTTGGCATGCGATTCACGCCTGCTGTAACGTGCAATGTGCTACTGCGAGACTGGGTGTGCTTGAACCCGAAACTCACGCTTGCCGATGAGCCGACTGGGATAAAAGACAAACACTGCATCAGCTTCGGCGTTCTGGGTAAGGGTATTTTCCATTCAGTTTTGGAGAGTTAGAGCGGCTGCTGTCAAAATTCATCATCTGTGGTATAAACGTGATACCAATTCACTTGGCAAGGACGAGGTTACAATGCTGAAGTGTGTTTCCCATTGTTACATAGACCGGAAACTGTCGACTGCGTGCTGAGGACGCTAAAAAATTCAGCGTTTGAATATCGTTTTTTTTTCAGGGCACCGGATCAATAATGCTGAAGCACATCAAAAAGTCTTTGGAAGAAATGATTCGCCGAAGGTAAACGAACGGACAACACTCCACAGGTTGCGCCGGATTAATAACATGCTTCGTATGCCAGTCGATCGACTTCCTTGGAAAGCCTCTTCGCACAACCACCCGGAGAGTTGTGGCAAGTCAGACTAAATCAAGCAGTGACTTGGCAGCGAATTATGAGGTCAGCAAACTCAGCTGCGCCACTCATCCCCGCACCCTGGATGGAGACATCAGAAGGGGGCACATCAATAGTTGAAGATATTAGCAGACATGGCCCAGTCTCGCTGAATGGTGTCCACGTTTCCAAGTTGTTGCGTTCATAGCAAGGGTTCACGTCCCGAACTCCCCATTGGAAAACTCGGTGCCGCCCCTGGATTCAAATGTCTCCATTTTTATTTTCCCAAACCATTGGCGAACGAAACTGTGACAGTTATAGCAGTGGTATAGCGGTTCACAGCTAAAGAAGATGGTGGGCCACCAGTTCTACGGCCTCGATGAAAGCTACTCATCATCATCACCATCATCATCACCAAAGACAGCAACATCAGTGTTGGCACTGATGCTTCACTGCCGTACAACCATAAAGTTCGTTTATATATATATATATATATATATATATATA